CCCAAATGCAGCTATTGTAGCCCCTCTGCATCCTCGCAGGCTACCCTGGTTACACCAAGTGGCTGGATGCTGCTGCCAGACTGAGGTACAGGCAGGATGCAAAAGCACCCGTAGAAAAAATTAGTGCCTCCCTGCCAAAAGGAGCTGGGCATCCTCAGGATGCTACCGCTCCCCTGCATGCTAAAATAGAGGATTTGGGAGGGGATCCCCCTTTTTCTCCCCCCTGTACCAACACTTTTGCTGCCAGAAGGTGGTGGCATTGCTTGAGGCAACAGGACAGGGCTGGGAGAGACCCTGGGATGGTCTCCATCCTCCTGGCATCCTCCCAGCATCCTCAGAGGATGCTACCGCAGTCCCGCATCTCCCTGACAAAGCCAGGAGAGGATGCTACTGTGGTCCCAGAGAAGCCAGGCGAGGATGCTACTGTGGTCCCACATCTCTCTGCCGAAGCCAGGCGAGGATGCTACCGCGGCTGCATCTCCCTGCTGAAGCCGGCACGGAGCGGGGTTGCTATGGAGATGCCGGCGCATGTGCAGCCTTTCTGAGAGGGGAATTTGCTCCCAAGACTTCACATTAAAAAATAAACCACAAACAACTGTTAAAGCTGTTCGGTACCTGTGGATGTGGAGCCCGTGGCAGGGGGCATCTGCCCATTGGACCCCTGCTCGCTGCCGAACGCCAAGCCTGGACTCCATCCCTGTGCCATCCCCTCTCTTGTCCCCCCCAGCCATTGCTCCCATTTCAGCGCAGCCCGGTCCCTCTGCCTGAGGGCCAAAGGGCTGCGCAGAGCCAGGGCCCTGCTTTGGGGGGTCTCCCCTCTGATTTAAGGGGTGATCCTCCTGCCAGGAGGGTGATGGCACAAAGGGCACGATGGGCTCTGCCATCCCCCATGTGCCCACCCGCTGCAAAGCACGGGCTAAGCTGCAGGCTGCATCCTGGAGGGACCCCAAACGTGCCCAAGACACGAGAACCAGAACACAAAGCAACCCCCCCAAAAACCCAGAGGACCCCTCCACGCAGGCAGCAGCTCGGGTGCAGGGGGAGCTGCCTCTCTGGGTCCTGCCATGGCCCAGCGAGCCAGTGCTTGTCCTCCCCGCCTGCACCGCCCAGCGTGGTATGAGCCACCCTGCGCGTTTTTGGGAGCTCCCCAGGCCTTGGGGTGGGGGCAAAGGGCTGTGCTGGTGGGGATGCCGCTGCTGTGCCGGCAGGGATGCCGCCTGGCAAGCACCAGCTCAGCCCCACGCCAGGGCCAGGCAATGCCGCAGGGTGCCCACTGCGGGCAGGAGCCAGGCTCCAGGAGGGACCATGGGCTCTGCCCACTGGGGAAAAACCAACCCCCCCTTAGCAAGAGGGTTTTGGGGGCAGCGGGAGCGAAAAGCAGGCAGAGAAGGGTAGGCTGGAGGAAGATGCTGATGCACTTTGCAGCGGGCATGGAGGTGGTTCACAGGCGCTCGAGACCCCCCACCCCGCACCCAGGCAGTCCCCAGTGAAACCCCTGGTGTGTGAGGGCACGGCTGGGTCCCTGCTCCTTTCCCATGCACAGAGGCCGCTCCACTTTAGTTAAAGCAAAAATAATTGGGTGGAGCTGTAATTACAGTCTTAATTCGCCTGCTCATTGAATCTGCAAGAAAAAACACAAGCCGGGGGGCACAGAAACACCTCTGCCTACAGCTTTCCAAGTCGCACGAAGAGTTGAGGGTCACCCTAAAAAATGCCTGTGCCTGGCCCCCGCCACCAGCTGTGCACCCTCGACGCACCGCAGCAGTGGGTGGGACAGCCCTGTGCGGGGTGGCACGGGTGACAACGGGCTGCTGCTCCCTGGGGATGCTCTGCCCTTCTCTCCCACTGACACAGTGAACCACCCAAGCTGCCACAGCCCCACAGCTCCCTCGGGAAAGGAGCAGGGGAATAACACCCCGTGCAGCCCTTGGTGCCCTCGTGCGTAGCCGGGCAGGGCTCCTACCTGGCACTGCCCTCTTCAACCCTCCCGGTGCAGATGCTAGGCATCACCAGAGGAGGAGATGGCAGCTCCAAAGCACAGCTCAATGTCTCAAACTGATGGGAACCAGGTACTGAAATCCCAAACACTGGCATGGCTCAGCCCTGGGACAGGTAAGGCCGCGGGCACCCATTTGCCTCGGCCACGAGGTCTGCACGAGTTATGGCTCCGTGCGCCAAAAGCCACTACCCTGCTCCTGCAAAGCCTGGGGCTCTGTGTGGCCACGTCCTCTCCTGCGAAAAGCCCCCATCCCAGAGCAGCCAGGCAGACCCCGGAGCGCCCCAGCAGCCACCCAGGCACCCTCCTGTCCCCAGGCTCCAGCACCCCTGGGTGCTGGCAGGGCCCAGCTGCACACGTGGTCGCTGGCGCGGCTGCAGGAGGATGCACAAGGAGTGGGGTCAGGTCTATGCGCTCCCCACCAGCCCCAAAACCACCCCACAACTGCGGCGAGCCGGGGCTTGGGGCGAGAGGGAGCAGAGCTGCCATCCCCACAAGGATACGGCTGCCCACAGAGAGGCCAGAGGATGGGGAGCAGGGCAGGGGAAGCCAGAGGATGGGGAGCAGGAGTGCTGCGCAGAGGTGTGGGGCAGGTTTGCAGGCAGGGCAGGGCAGGGGGTTGCAGAAGGGGCCGCTGCAGGGTGGGTGCACGTACCACTGGGTGAGAGCTGCTTCTGGACGCATTGCCCACGGTCGTCCTCCTGGAAGGGGGACAGGCAGGGGCCACAGGCGCCCGACCCTGGCGGGCAGAACTCCCGGCGCTGCAGGGCACAGTCCAGGCTCCGGGGACACGACACTGCTGTGGGGATGGGAGAAAACAGGTCAGGAGGAGGAGAGGGGTCAAACGCTCCCCTAGCTCTGTCCGTGGCCACTTGGTGTGGGACCCAGCCGCCCTGGGCAGCTCCCGCTGCAGTTAATGGGTGTGGATGTGCCTCACCGGAGCTGCCCCTCAGCCGCCCTTTGCCTTCGCAAAGCCATTACTGACTGCAATTAAGTACGGGGTCTAATGACCTGGGAGTCGGGCTCGCGGGCAGACCGCCCGGCGCTGCAGGGCACAGTCCAGGCTCCGGGGACACGACACTGCTGTGGGGATGGGAGAAAACAGGTCAGGAGGAGGAGAGGGGTCAAACGCTCCCCTAGCTCTGTCCGTGGCCACTTGGTGTGGGACCCAGCCGCCCTGGGCAGCTCCCGCTGCAGTTAATGGGTGTGGATGTGCCTCACCGGAGCTGCCCCTCAGCCGCCCTTTGCCTTCGCAAAGCCATTACTGACTGCAATTAAGTACGGGGTCTAATGACCTGGGAGTCGGGCTCGATGATCTTTATGGGCCCCTTCCAACTCAAGGTATTCTATGATTTTATGACCTGCACAAGGCTGTTTGCTGCCTGCAGGGAAGAGCAGGCAGTGCCCGTCCTCCTGCATGGGACCCCAACACTCAGGGTGCCACCGTCCCCTGGGACACCCCAAGCTCCAGGGTGCCACCATCCCACAGGACACCATGAGCCTCAGAGTGTCACTGTCGTGCGGGATGCCTCAAGCCCCAGGGTGGCAGGACACCCTGAGTCCTGCAGAGCTGGCAGCGATGAGTGTCTCCAGCACCCGCCTGCACCATGCAGGCAGTGGCCGAGCAGGCTGGCAGCTGAAATCCAACCAACACAAACCAATGCTCATGTGGTAGCTGTCAAACAAAAAAAACCCCAAACACCCCCCCCCAAAGCCTCAGCACAGCTGTGACAGGTCATCACAGGCAGCAGCAGCTTTGGTTTCCATCCATTTGACATCGCGACAGGGGAAAACGGAGGGACCCAGCCCTCCCCTGGCGATGCACCATGGCCCAAACCTCCCTCGCAGCTTTACTGGGCATCTCATTTCCATGTCAGACCCAGGGACCTCTCCGGTACCTGGGGACAGGCACGAGCCCCCCATGCTCCGACCTCATCCAGACCCAACATGCTCATGATGCTGTGGCAGCCTGCCATGGCCAGGAGCAGCCCCGGTCCTCTCCCAGCCTGGCTCAAGCCAGTGGGACCTCCTGGCGGGACACAAAGTCCCTGGGTCCTACGCAAAGCCGAGTCCTGAGACCAGGTGATGGTGGCAAACCGTGTGTGGAGATGGAGAGAGGAACCATGACCAGCTGGGACAGCGACACACAGGGCCAGCGCACAGGTCTCACCTGTGGCATGGGGCTGCAGGGACACTCTGGGCTCCCAGCTTTCAGCAACAGCAGCAGGAGCTGCTGCCTGGGACGGTGACACTGCTGGCACTGCTGTGGCACAAGCACAGACATCCCTCCCTCACGAGCTGGTGGCAGCGTGGAACCGAGTACTGCTTAGTGCACCAGTGTCCTGGGCTGGGCACAGCTGGATGGGGGTGTGTGCACAGCTGAATGGGGGGTGCACAGCTGGATGGGGGTGCAGCACACAGCTGCCCTAGCCCTGCTCTTCACCTTGCTGCACGTAGCCGTGCCCATACCTTTCCCGCAGGCAGCAGCAGGCAGGAGAGCACTGCCGCGGGGCCCTCACCGGGAGCAGGGCCAGGCCTGGCCGCCCCCGGCCCGGCGATGAGTCACGGCAGGAGCCGGCTCCCAGCATCGTCCCACGCTCTCTGAGCCATCCCCGTCAGCCCTCGCCCACCCACGCCAACACCGTGGGCAAAGCGCCCACCATCTGCCCATCCCCGTGCCCTGGGGGACGGCAGCACCAGGGACAGCCCCAGCACAACACAGCACCGAGCATGCCACGAGAAGGGGCACCCCAACTTTGGGGGCTTTCCCAAGCATCCCCATCCCTGCAGCACACTGGGGGTGAGGGGGGCAGCCGCTGCCGTGCCCAGGCACAGGATGGAGCCGCCAGGACACGAAGCTCCAGGGCCACCGCAGCAGCTCTGCTCCCCCAGCAAGGGCACAGGTGCTGAGTGGGATGCCACCCCAAAGCAACACACTCGGGATGCCGAGCGGGATGCCACCCACAACAAATCCCCATTTGCACGGCCCTATTTCACCATTAAACTGCCCACCAGAGGGTGCAAGTGCCCCCAGACTGCACCCAGACCCCTCCCCACTGCACCACACAGGGCATTGCATTCATAACCCTGCGGCTGACAGTGCCAAAGAAGGGCAGAACTGCCTTTGATGCAGTGGTTTCTCTTGCGGGCAGGGTTTTCTCGGCAGCTGCAATTAGGGCGGCAACGAGGGTTGGCTGAACCCTGCGCTGGGTAGAGCAGCCTGGGGGGGATTCGCTCGGGGCAGGGGGCAGTGCCCGTAGGAGCCAGGTTTCCTCCCTGGGGACAGTGTGGGGCTCAGCCAGGTGACTAGGGGAAGAATTAATGCTTAATGGGAAAATAATCACACGTTTAAGCACAGAAATTGAACTCGGCTGCCTGCTTCGCCTGCCCCGGGCTCACTCTCAAGGCCGCTTTGTTTAAAAAAGCCAAAACACGCGGCCGCTTAGGGGCAGGAGGTTTTGGCACTGCGCAGCACCAGGGGTGGGGACATGCCACATCCCTGCGGGGTGCTGGGGGACACACTGGAGACCCCCGCCTGTGCCATGGACCTGTGGAAACACATCCCCCCAAAACAGGCGCTGCCAAAAGCTGTTCACTGGTGGGAGGAAGCCACCCTGGTGCAGGTCACCCAGCACTTGTGGCCACCCAGCACCATGAGACCCCAGCGGGACCCTTGGAGCCACCTCAGAGCCACCTCAGGGCAGCAGGAGGGGCAAGGGCAGCCCCAAGCCAGCGCCCAGCAACTGGTTAAATAAACCCCAGCCTGGAATATATAAAAGGTCGTTATCTCTGTTTGAGGAACGAGCTGTGCTTGGCCAGCTGTCATGGGCTGGGATTAGGAGCGAGACAGGCAGGCACTGATCTAATTAAGCTCCCCATGTGTAATCAATTGGTGGGTAGTGAGCAGATATCACAGCGTGGGCACCTGCAGGGTGAGGAGTTCTGCAGGGGCTTTGTCACTCTCTGAGCCCACCCCAAAGTCCAGTGGCTGCTCTCTGGCTGGGCTGGCCATGGGTGGGATGAGGAAGAGGGACCCAGGCTGGTCCCAAGGGATGGGGACACGGCGGGGCAGCACAGACCCGCCTGCAGGATGGTGCAAACCAGCTGTAAGGTGAAGCGAGAGGAGCGTGCAATAACATGGAGTCCAAAGCCAGTGCTGGCCACGGCACAGCCAGGATGCTGCTGCCCAGATGTGCTGGTGGGGTCTGGAGGAGGGGGATGCTCTATCCAACTGCTGTCACCGTGGCTGCCATGGTGCAAACCTCCTGTGCAGGTGGGCAGTGAGCCCAGCTCAGCACAACCAGAGGTAATGTGTTAAACCTGGCTTTGGGCTGGGACAAGCTTCTGGTGCTGGAGAAAGCCGGGTGGCTCCCTGCAGGCAGAAACGCAGACAGGAGCCGAGCCGAAGGCCAGCAGGCGAGCAGGACACCGTGCAGCCGGCACGGAAAGACAAACAGTGGGTGAGCATGAGCCGGGGACGTGTGTGAGCGGGAACAGCCCCGTGCACAGGAGGAAACGCTGGCATATGAGCTCCAAGGTGTGCCAGGAGCAACCCCCCCCCCCCCCCACAGGTTTACAGGGGGG